TTAAGGCTAGGCTTAAAACTTTCCTTTTTGATAAAGCTTCTAGTTAGAGTGGCTCAGGTTATCCTGAGTAAATTCTTCATGTTCTCTTGCATTTTGCCGTGACACCAAAAATGAATGTAAGGTGTTTTTAAATCATATCTCAGGACATCTCAATGCGCTCCAGATGAAAGGAAAAACTCAAAAAGACAAAGTATTCCAAAGATCGAGGAGCAGTAAAGAATTAAGGGAGCAAACCTTTAATTGCCGTTCTTCCAGCATTAAGCCATGTTTACATTCATCCATCTTCCTGCGAACTTTAACCATATTTCCTGTTCTTGTTAAAAAATAACAAAGTACTTCCAACTATAGGGAGAAATACTGAACATAGGCATGAATGCAAAAGAAAACATTTCTGCAGTGAAGTCCTGAAAACGTGTCACAACATGAAGGATGTTGGCAATTAAGGGAGTGTGCCCCAAATTACAGCTTCATTATAGCTGAAAAATAGGATAATGAGAAACATTTACTCCACTGCTCTTATTCTACTTTACATCACAGTAACATTCATTCATATCCAGCGTGATTAATTACAGGAAACGCAGCGTTTTCTTGCCCCCTCATGTCACTGTTAGGCATTAGATGATGGCTTATGTCTTTTTTTTCCTATATTAGCTCAGCTGCTCACTTTAGTGTCTCCCTCATTCTCATCGCCGCGTCCATTTTGTCCTCTAATGCTTTAGTTATGCATAATTCCATCATAAAGAGCCTCCACAGATCCACTCAGTGACATGGAAATGCAGTTCTGGCCTCTGCTGCCAGAGACTTTGACTGTGTCAGGATCTGGAACCCTTTATGACCGTGACAGTGAGAGAGGATATCACGTGTACGGCTTTGTGGTGTGAGGATACGATAACCTACAATATGTTTGATTAACACATTAGACATCATATTAATAAAGAAAAGTCTTAAAAAACTTCAACGCTTCATTCATTCATCTGATCCCAGCATGAATTATGCATGAGAAGCAGCTTGCTCATACGTAAATCTGACAACACTGTTTGCTAAGTGGTCCAGAGATGCCTCTGAGTCCCTGTGTGCTCTTGTTCATGCCCCCGTATCCTTGACTGAAGTTGGAACAATGACAGTGATGAAGGAACGATGCATTTGTTTGTGCTCTTGCATCCGTTGGCCTGTCAGATCTTTCTTAGTTACAAATCAAAAGCTGTTTGGTGCATTTGGTCCGGCGGCAATACTAGCTGTCTTCATTAGTGTGTGTGTGGCTGACTGTCAGGGACTTTGCAAAGGACTCTGAACTCAGTGGAACTGAGAGAATACTGGGACAGATTGAGACAATGCTATCATCTACCTGTCTGTCTGTCTGTCTGTCTGTCTGTCTGTCTGTCTGTTCATCATCCATCACCTCACCCAACCTTTTACGTATATCATATATTTATCATATAAACTAGGAGGGAAATATTGGAGTTTTTCCCTTGGAA